AAAATATTTCCGGCGTCCTAACTCCCCGGCAACAGCCCTAATACAAACCTAAACTGTTGCCCTTACCTTAATTCTTAACTCCGCAGTTAACATTAGCCGCGACTTTAACTACCCAAACTTGATCCTGACCTAAGTTATCGTTAAATTTATATCAAACCCTAAGCCTGGTGTTGAAGAAGAAGACACGATCGCCGGGACAAGAGCTTTATTAGCCTGACGTTTCGGACTGCCACTCGAATCCATCATCAGAGACAAAGAAGCAGAAACGGGTGGTTGTTGCACAAGGGGCTGCTGTATTTATAGGATGCAGTAGCCAAGCTGCCGCATACCTACGAACATTCACGGCTCCCCCTTTCATCCGGGATCGTCGCACTTGGTGTGATCATTGCTTGATGGCCGACATTCGAGTCGATAATTGCTGCAATTTCATCACGTGCGTTGGGTGTTGGCGTGATGATTGCTCGACCATCTGACGCACCGACCCCGGTGTTGGGAAAAGTGTTCACCTCTGCCTCCTAAGCCTAATCCTTTATTTAACCCTGATCCTTATCTTTAACCCAACCTTAATTTCACACGAAATTTGATCAAAGCCACCCGTATTGCAAGCGGTTTCTGTTCTTATTTCCTGTTTAGGTTGGCAACGATAGGATGAGGGACCCGACTTAATTGTCGGTAGGCTGTGGATTGTGTCGTATGGTATTTTATCTTGGCATTCATTTGCAGGTGATCGCCGGCATTAAACTGCTAAAAACAATTACTTCCCATGACCTCAAACCATTCCTCAAACCCTGCTATTTTGTTTTTGAAAATTTACCTTTTGTCTATATGTTTATTAACGCGCTCATTTCGGCTGCTATGCGAAAGCTTACAATCAGACTTTCAGCAGAAGTCTAGACGATTTCTGTGTTTTCTTGCCTTTCTTCAGCATACTGTCTGGTGCGCTGCTCCAAACCTAAAATCCCCATTAGCACAATGTCCTTATGATACGATCCATAGTCTACCGACAGTTATTTAGGGTCCTTCACTTTGCCGTTGCCAGTCGGCCCTACACAAGAATTTTCCAAAACCAGAACTGGCAGAGAGATATTCCTTTACAGTCCTTCGGCTGGAAAGTACTCTGCCCGAATCTTTCAAATCACAAGCGAAGATTGCAGGACTATATTCATAGTTGAATATTTTATCGTTTTGACTCGGTAGAACCTAAGTTCGCAGATGCTATTGCTAGCTCAGGCTACTTATTGCGCATGTTAAATGCGAAATGATACGCCACACTCCATTTTGAAATACGGGCATCGTGTAATGTCCAATGAAAAATAACCCACTTTTCCAGGGACAAGGAATGCCTTTAAACAGCAAAATAAACTTTTGTCAGCATTTTGATTTCGGTTAAATACATGCGTAAAACGGCAAAGCCACATACAGGCATAGTCCACCCACAGAATGTACAAGTTCCATGAGATCCGAAAGTTAGGTTTCTATCAAGAAAGTTTGTCTTAATCAGGTTTTTTTGAGGTAAACACTCGTTTTTCCGTCATATCAGAAAGAGACCCCGGAAAATTGCCAAATTGCCAAATTCATAAAAACAGACTTTTGGTAACTGTCGAATAGTGTGCGTATAGTTATTTTCGGTCGTACAATCAAAAATAGCCCACCGACACACAACCGCATCAAAATTCTAGATAGGACCACCAAAATTAGAAAACATTTTCTCCTTAATCCGCCCCCAACGTCTTGTCTGACAAGTTCGCGCCCGCAAAAAATGATTCCCTGTTCAGTCAAATGTTTCCGTAAACAACGACACGCCGTACTGTCCCACCTTCTCCACCATCTCCCAAGCACCGCTCTGGTGTGCCGCGACGTGCGGTTGAGGGAGGTCTGTGTTGTGTCTGCTGCGAAGAAATCTTATTATCGCCTATTCTGACGCATAGACGAGCCGTTTAGTTTTGAGAGCCACTGTGCTAAGTCTCATCTTCAGTCATGTGGGTGTTGTACTGCCATCAAGGCCTGATGGATGAGGGAGGAGAGAGTGCGGTAGACGCTGTGTAAATCTTCCTCACCTCGAACTTATTCACGCGCAAGTTATCGGTGTTGTTCCTACCGCGTGGAGAACACGGTGGACTACGAGGCTTGTGACGGTTGAGTTGTTATCTAGACGATACATTCGTAGGGAGAGGGTACTTAGGTGATACTCCCCCATGGAAATAACCGTCGGCATTTGTCTTTTGATTTTTAAATAAACCGAAATTCATTAAGCGTTTTCAATTCAAAAATATGTGAATTTTTTGCCGACACCGATCCCAGTAAACCTCAACTCAAATTCGAAAACGCGTTTTTGATTAGGAAGGATCACTTTGGTTAAGTTGCAATGTTGACTATCATGCTACATGGTGCTGCAATATATCAGACACGCTAGGACGTTGGCTTTCGACTGCACTTCTTATCTGTCGTCTGAAAAACTACACTCCGTAAAAAATAACAATTTTAGTAGCAAGAATTCTTTCGATGGGAAATTTCATATGCTTCTATTCTTATATACCAAGAAAGGGAGTCCTCCGGTTTTAGAAAGTTTGAACTATACATTTTCGAAGATCTTTCAATGTCCATTTTGATAACACGGCATCTGTCCGTTTATTAATGCTCTCCATGGAGTATACAACCGCATTATTTGAAGCATTTCACAGACCCTATAGAATGTCTTATTAAAATTGTAAGACGGTGTACAGTAGGTGTGCTAACTCAGGAGATGTTAACCGAAATTCTGAAATGCGTTTTCTTTTCTAAAAGACTACTTATGAAGGGTCTTAAAATCAATCATCGTGAAGCACTATTCTATAATACCTCAGTTATCTCGAAATGTCGGCTTTCTAATGAATTTCTTTCCGGCCGCATGCGAAAACCACACCCTGTAGAAAATGGCTGTTTACGTGGCACACATTTTTCTCATCGATTTTTGATGCCATTAAAAATGTAATTAAATTTCATAGAAAACATGCATAAAAATATTTTCTTCTTTTACTCATTCGGCAGAAAATTACGTCTTCTTCCAATTTTATCCTGCAAGAAAGTGCATTTTTCGGTATTAAAAAGTTTCTAACCGTGAGGCCGTTCCCTTCACGTTCCTAAACGATACTCATATTTTTCCACCGTGAAGGTAAAACATGTCTTTTTATTTATCTGGCGGCCATTTGCACTGTCTTTGCCCTCTTTTAGACTCCGTTTTACAATTATGCATGCATGGCAGAATGCCCATTTAAAATACCGATATTCTTCTGAAACTGTTAATGTTTTGCCCGTTCCATTTCTGAATTAGGTATGTGCAGAAGCTAGAGTACACGAAAACATAATGTTTAATATGCTTAAAAACTGAAAACGTCTATTGGGTGGTAGTCATTTTTGTGGCAACCCAGTAAATGTTTCAAATGACAAAATATACGCACATTTGAACGAAAGCTTGCCTATCGGCGCGAAATTGCGAAGATTGGCTAATATGACTTCTAAAAATTGATAAGACACCTGGTCCTCTTAAAATAACCTTTGCGTTAGCAAGCTGAATCTCACGGGTAAAATCGGACAGAAAATCAATTTTCAAGTCCGGCAAGCATTGTTTATTGAACCTCTCCAGAGTAAACTACTCTCCTTTCAATGCGAAACACACCTAGAGGCGCCACCTAAGTCTAGGACAGGTATTCGCATAGGAAACTGTCCAATTGTACCGCAATGTCCAGTTTCGCCCAAATGTATAAACATTACGCTTGATAAAGTTATGTGAACGCAATTTCTGCACAAGAAAAGGACATTTCATTGAAGGGGCCGGAGGAGCAAGCAAAATGCGCAACCATTAAGACGTTCAACAATTCTCACATCTGTTTCCGTTTCCAGGTTTCATGAACAGGTCACGTACTGTACATACTGTATTTATTAAGTGACCATTTTTGGCGAGTAAAGGCCAAGCGTACGGCCGAAGAGCGTGCATTCAAAAGACAATGTCCCAACCGGTTTTAAATATCATGCGATTATGGTGCATGATAAGCTTTACAGTTCCACCTAAGTACTCCTTCCTAATCGAAAGCGCATTTCAGAATTTCGGTCAACATTCCATATGATCGGTCGCTGGCAGTACGTCTATCCTTATACACAGTTGATCGGCGTTTTCAAAGAGGCGGTAAGCCCACCCAGTGAAGAAAACGTGTTTTATTTGCGACAGGACGGTCCTGAAATTCTGCTGAAACTGCCATTCCGGGAAGTGATCCTTTATATGTCCGGAAGTCGTGATGCATTACAGAGTGCATAGGCTACATGGAACCGGAAGTAATTTGGACTATAGGAGGTATTTGCGGTTACAGTCTCGTATACGTTCAACAGCTCTTTCACCGGCAACAGGGTTGTGATCTAGTAAAACCAAAAATAGACAATGAGAACAAATGATTCCTAGCATATAGGCATAAATTTTCCATCTGCCTGACACCGATCGTGTGTCCTCAGCACGCTTTCTAAGATTTCTCCATGATAAGCGGGTCTAAAAAGGGTAAAAGTAACAAAGAACTTCGATCCTCTGGCAAAATCAGTGCGCACGGTAGAGTCATGCTTTTATAAGTCGTTTCAGAAAGCGATAAGCGGTCTGGATCCTTGTCTGCTCACCTCAACCCGTCAAATGCCTTCCGTCGTCAAAAAATACTGACCAAAACCCTAGAACCAAAACATAATGTTTTGCAGAACTTGAGAACTTAATTTCTGACGCAAGGAGTTCAGAAGACGATCACTAGCCATTGAACGCAATGTGCTTAGCGTTTGTCTCTCTTTTCACATACAAGCGGCCACTTGAAGAAGAAGACACGATCGCCGAGACAAGAGCTTTATTAGCCTGACGTTTCGGATTCCTGCTCGAATTCATCATCAGAGACAAAAGCAGATAAAGGTCGTTCATGCATAAGGGGCTGCAGTATTTATAGGATGCAGTCTCCATGCTACCGCATACCTACGAGCAGTCACGACTCCCCCCTTCATCGGGGATCGTTGCACGTGGCGTGATGGTCGATATTCGCGTCGTTAATTGCTGCAATTTCATCACGTGCGTTGGATGTTGGTGTGATGATTGCTCGACCATCTGACACGCTGACCCGGGTGTTGGGAAGAGTGTTCATCAGGGCGCTCCCCGCGTGGCCAATTACTCCGCCTAGACGAAGTCTCAGCACGCTGTATTGAATGGGAAGATCATTGCACTTGTTAATAGACTGGGGGCCAGTGAACCATGACTCAAGCAGCTCCCGGCTCACGCGGTTGTCAACTCTTGCGAGAATTTCGGCCTCGTCAAATTTGAATGTGTGGCCAGAACCCGTCGAACGAGCCGCAACTTGAGAGCTGGCGTCATTTCTCCGCACTGCTGCAGCGTGTTCGGCCATTCGCGTTCGGAGCCGTCTTCCGGTTTCTCCGACGTAGTTGCTTTGTCCGTAACTGCACCAAATCCGATAAACGACTCCAGAAGTTTCTTGCCGTGGCAGTGGGTCTTTCGGTTTCATCAATTGACGCCTGGTGGTTGCCTCCGGCCTGTGTGCAATTCCAACCCCAAGTGGTGTGAGAAGACGGCCAACAGCTTCCGAAACGTTCTTGACATATGGAAGCGCTCGCCAAACTTTGGTGTCCCTGCGGTTAGGCCTTTCGTCCATTTTGCGTATGCACCGGTTGACAAAGTTGCGCGGGTAGCCATTGGCTTTGAATACCCGTCGGAGGTATTGTAGTTCAGCAATTTTGTCTTCCGGCTCACTGCAGTGCGTTTCGACGCGCCGATAGAGCGTCCTTACACAACTTCGTTTGTGTCTGATTGGGTGGTTGCTGTTGAAGTTCAGTACTTGCATCGTATTTGTCGTTTTCCTGAACACTTTGGTCTTTAGTCCACCACAATCCTTGCGGCATACGAGGACATCCAGGAAGGCCAGCTTGTTGTTCTCTTCCTCCTCCATCGTAAATTGTATGTCCGGGAAGACCGTATTCAGACGTTCCTTGAATGTCAGCAGTTGATCCCGTTGCCAACCTAAACAGGAAATAAGAACAGAAACCGCTTGCAATACAGGAGGCTTTGATCAAATTTCGTGTGAAATTAAGGTTAGGTTAAAGATAAGGATCAGGGTTAAATAAAGGATTAGGCTTAGGAGGGCAGAGGTGAACACTTTTCCCAACATCGGAGTCGGTGCGTTAGATGGTCGAGCAATCATCACGCCAACATCCAACGCACGTGATGAAATTGCAGCAATTATCGACTCGAATGTCGGCCATCAAGCAATGATCACACCAAGTGCGACGATCCCGGATGAAGGGGGGAGCCGTGAATGTTCATAGGTATGCGGCAGCTTGGCTACTGCATCCTATGAATACCGCAGCCCCTTGTGCAACAACCACCCGTTTCTGCTTCTTTGTCTCTGATGATGGATTAGAGTGACAGTCCGAAACGTCAGGCTAATAAAGCTCTTGTCCCGGCGATCGTGTCTCCTTCTTCAAGACTCCTTCTTGGGACTCGTCTTTTCGCTTCTATTGACATGCAGCCACTGTCGGTGCAAAATGCTTAATTTTCTATCATTGCATTCGGCTATGCCGAGGTCTATAGAAAATTCACTTAATATTTATGAAAGATTTTTCGTTCTAGATCTTTGATGACAACTTTATGTCGATTAAGACTAGTCAAAGTTGCGAAAAGCCCTGCTAGCATGACAAACTTAAGATAATATAATGAACTGTCACCTACCGTTAGATGAGGTGACTACACGTTTTGGGGAAAATAATCTGCAACCATTACTCTGGACATGAAGATTTGGAAAAATTTTCAAAGAAGTTGTTGTCGTCTGGGCTCTACAAATGTATAAGTTTACAAGCGTAATCTGTCATCATTTATGCAAAGACTAAATCAAGGAGAATCCAACGCTCCAACAGGTTTTTCACGTAAACCAAAATTTTAATTAGCAGAGATTTTCTGTCACCTGTTTTGACATCTGCGCCGGATTACAGACGCGACTGGAGTCCCTTTTAAATCAATCATGTATGTTTGCACTTCCAAACTGTCATTTCCTAATAGCATAACGGTCAGAAAACGAATTACAGTGAGTGACTGGTCTCATGAGATTTTAGCCGAAATTCTGAAATGCATTTTTAATAAGGATGGGTTACTAAGGTGGCAATGTAATATTGATTATCTTACTGCATATCGCTATGATATGCCGGACTCGTCAAAATGCTGGCTTTTGAATGCACCTCTTTGCGAACGCCCGTATAAACCACACTCGGTGAAAAGTGCATGTGAATTAATCAGTTTGCATTTTCACAGTGCTTTTTGATGGCCTTCTAAATTTAAATATATTTTATAGAAAGCGTGCGCAAAATACGATTTTTGTATTATTTGGTAGCAAATCACGCCGACTTCACATTTTATACTCGAAGAAATAGTATTTTTCTATTGTAAAAAATTTAACTTATGAGAGTTTTAAAGACCGTGCAATGTCCATTCATACAGCATCGTGTTTGTGTGTCTTTTAATGCTCCTCATAAGGTATGCAACATATTTCGGTCCCGTTGCAGACTCCTATGAGCTTAGTATACAATCGTCTTAAGGGCCTAGCAGAATATGTGATTTTCCTTGCGCGGGGAATATTTACTTTTAGACCGGAATCGCTAAACGCCGACGCAGCAGCCGACCCGGATCAAAATTATTCGGAAATTGGATAATTGTTCAAAACTTAAATATACCCTATCTTTGAAAATAAAATATGAAGTCGTCGTACTTGTTTGCTGATTGTAGGCGAGCATATATTTGTGTGTGTTTTCCATAAAACATAGCTACATTTATAAAGCCACAAAAACCAATGGGGCATTGCAAACTGCTTAAGTATCCACGTGTAACCGGGTGCGGTTACTGCAGGAGATCGGAAGGAAGTGCATTCGGAAGCCAACAACATGACGAGTGCGAAATATTATGGGATTATGCCGCATGATAATTAATATAACAACCATATTTAAGTAATACTCCTCAGTCGAAAACGCATTTCAGGGTTTGAGGTAATATTTCATGAGGTTGGTTGCTCACAGCATGGCTAAAGGCTTCATTGTTGGTCATCATTAACACACCTCTCCGATAAATGCAATAAATAAATGACATGGGGCCGGTCAAATGCTGCGTTGGAACAAGCTGTCCCTAAGCCAGCGCGCACGTCTGAGCAGATAATGTTGGAAGCCGGAGATCGAGCGTCAAGTGCGCGAAGGGCGTTGAGATGCTTCTGCGCGCGTACCGCAAAAAATTGTTCTGATTATGCGACGCATTTTCTAGTTTTAAACGGTCCGAGAACAATGCACAGCCGAGAGTGGGATTGCCCTTCCCTAGGATGTGCCAAACCAATGTGGACTGCCTCAGAGTGCAAGACAGTTTTCCAACAAGACTTTTATCCGGCAGCCAATCAACCGGGTTGCAGCGAACGCACCGGTCGTCACAGCCGAAAACCCTTTTCGGCTAAATACGTGGGGATTAACTTTTCTGATTGCTTACTGAACGGTTGAGTCATTGCAGACTTCCAAACTTGTGAACAGCAGTGCGGGAACTGAACTTTGCTTTTTGTTAGTGTCTGGTTTGATTAAACTAGATAACTTGGTCGGCAGTTGAGTGATGCGGAAAATAAGTCGATCCCATCGCCGATAGCGAATGTCAAACTGTTAGTATGTTGGCAGCCGAAAAGTACGTACTTTGGCCAACTATATGCTGAAGGAGGCAAACTGATGAAGCATCGAAAATACCCAAAAAATCAATGCCAAACAAAGAAATATGACAGGAGGGGACAAAACTGGAGAAGTCCGCATGTTATTTTCCCTCATACCAAAACAGTACTCCCTACTTTTCCAGAAAAATGCATAAATGTTTCGTCGAAACTTGTCAACCCAAAAAACTCAATATTTTGATTTGAATACTTATGCAACTTTTATTTTCGGGAAGCACTTTTGTTGACATATCCGCACTATGAAGACTAGTGAGAGTGAAAGGCATTTTATTCTGAAATTGTCACCTGAAGATATGTTCATATGTTTTGGCATACAAGATAGTAAGATAGTTATGCAGACGTCTTTAGTTAGAGCACGTTCTATGTAAACAGTCAAGTTGGAAAATGCAGTCAATATTTCCAAACTATCCGAATCAGTTGATAATTTAAAATATTAAAGATATTCCTGCAGTGAAGATGGAGAGGACAGCAATTTTCCTCAAATATTTTTATTAGATAACATTTGTCCCCTGATTTGATGGAGGAATTTTTTTACTTGCATGTCGACGCCATAGCTAGAATTTACAGTAGGTACGACGTGTGTTCTCGCTGAATACGATCAGTAAGATTGGCCCGCACTTCATCGACAAAGAGTCAGTAACAAACGATATATGCGGTTATAAGTGTTGCAATCAAGGTAATACTTGATAAGTTCTCTCTTCGGCTTCGACAGTGCTTATTCTTAAACCATTCCGGTGTCACAATGTGTCCTTTTTTCGCCATCACTTGGTTTTATTAGTAGATGTCTCGTGTTTTTAAGAGGGCTCACTGACTACCATTAAACAAAACAAAATAGATACCCAATAAATTCAGTTTTTCTACATTTTAGGATACCGACGGCAGAATGAGGATGCGGTGTAACGTTGTGCCGGTCCAATTATTTGGAATACTCCTACCACTCATAAATGTTTACCTGGGTCTCCACGCGATCCCTTTTTGCAGTGCCACAGATGCCTTCACCAACCTGACCTCAGACTTCTCAATAATACAAGGCAAACAGAGCTCGATCGGGGAAATTGAGGAGTGGACACGCTCCTGCCGGAGTTTGCCTGATCACCGCATGGACATTGTACGGCTGAAGTTGCAGGGTTTCGTCTTCGAAGTGACTTCTGTCCGAAAGGTGGAGGAAGACACGTATATAAAACGAAAAATCGCGAAACTCACGAAAGCATATAACCACCTCCTGTTGGACGCGCAGTATACCTCAAAGATGATTACAGTTTTTCACCCGCTTTCCATCCAATCAAATATCTGTAAACTCTTCCAGTCTCTGCGCCCGCAGGATCACGCAGTTACCAGTATCCTCGTCATCAACGACTTTGGCGCTATGGTGGATCGACCCATACACGATCGACTGTTACACCTTTTCTTTCAAATCACTTCCTCCCTAGGCCTACCAACAATAACCTGGATGCCCAACAGAATAGGGGACTTTGAGGTGAGTTACATACTCACATTTGAAACAAAATGCTTAAGAGCCGGAAGATACAAAGAAACCTATGAGGTTCCCTTTCGAAAAATGATTCATATACGTTTTTGCCATCGATAACTCTGTTCATGTTAGAAACTATCTGCAAAAAGAGGATAAAATTCTTAAATAATAGTCACATGACAAGATTACATACGGTCTCGTCAACGTCTCGGAACTCAAACCCGTTAACAATCGGGAGATGGCACCCAAAAAAATCCGAAATAATACGTTTAACAGTGGACTCAAACGCCTTCAGCTATATCAGCGGTTGAAGGCCTACCATCACGCATTACTTAGACTTTCCGCGACGGCCTAACATGGGCTGGCCGAACGAACATCGCAGGAGGTTACATGAACAATGGTCGCTGTTACCCAACCTTCCCCATCGTTACATACGTACACCTGAATATACGGCATACATTTGCATTATGACAGTTTATTACAAAACAAAATAACTTTTAAATAGGATAAGTCTGCACAACATGGGACAGGAACAGTTCCGAGGCATCTGTCAAAGACATGGCATTGAGGCCAAACCAAAGACGATACTGTACTTCGTTTATGTGAGCCCACACAGCTTGACCACATACAGGGCCTCCTTCGTGGAGTTGCCTTTTCATTCTACACCGGTATGCCTCATTGGCAGGGTCCTTGAAGTTCTTTGAGTGGTTAACAGAGAAATGTAGATAACCTTCTA